AGTTAACTTGTGAAGAACTAAGAAATATAGGAAAATTTTTCACAGTTCACTGTATCGTTCGCACTCATTTTCAATTGCTTTGTGGCCTCAGAAGTTGTACAAAACTCAACTTATGAGTGCTTCTATCATTTGTGAAGTTATGCATATTGTTGACATAACTCAGTGTGGAAATGTTTTAAAGGTACCATATTTTGGAGTTCCTTGTACCTAGCGGACTTATGCAGTGCTTGAGTTGCTACAAACACTTAGCAATGTTTTGAAAGTACAACTCCATATTTATAGACATGTATATCATGATTTATTCAAAACCAAATTTATATATTTTCAAGATTTTATTTAGGAATAATATTCATTACCTGTGCATTACCTAAATCATTTCTTAGTTCACAAACTTTGTATAGTGTAATTGGGCAGAAGCCTCATGTGTGTAAGCAATAAGATTTCAAATTAGAGTAAACTAGTATGTGACTTTAGGTAAAATGTTTGCCTTTCCTAATCCATGTTCAAAGGAGAGTTGTGAGCCCAGTTCTGTTTACTCTGAATATCTTGCACTACCTAAACTTGCATTATACCTTACAGAAACATTCAAGAGCTCTAAGACTCCAGCAGAGATGAAGGAGTTACCTGTATTGCAGGAGTCTTCTGATGCAGTCAAGTTAGGTGCAGGTCTCGAGCTGTGTCATCATACAGCTGAAGACTGCAGGCAGATGGAGCATTCCTTGCAAAGTTGTGTCATGGGTAATTAGCTCATTGTAATGTTTTAATTGATGTAATATTTTGTCATAATATTTATGTACATTGCAGTTATAAAAAAATTGAAGTTTGCCTAGCTTGCCATATGATGAAAATCAATTTTTATATTTGTTTATACACCTGCAATTTCATCAAGAATCTGGTTTTATTACTTATATTATCTAAGCAAGTATATATGTACAAAAAGTGTCTCTGGTAGAGAACTGTTTTGCTCTCCAACTTTTGACATTAAGTTGGAAAATTTATTTGCTGCATAGTACATATTTTGGCACAAGCAAGTGTACAGAAAATAATTTGTCATCATTATTTTGATTTTAGCACAAATCACAGAAAATATGGCTTTTTTAAGTTGAGTTGTATGGTTTGGATAAGATTTATGTAAATTATATAAGATTCAGAATTGATGTCTGGCATTCTCAAATATGATGTTAATATTCATGTAGCCAGTGCTGAGTATTTTAACCATATATGATAAGCTAAGGTCGGTAACTAATGACAATTTTGAAGTATGTTCCTCAATAATTGAATCAGTACTCAAGTTGTGGCACTTGCAGAAGCTGTGAAGATTGAGCCTCGTGACAAGCAGCAATCAAACTGTGACTCGGGACTCCCAGCTGGCTTCCTTGAAGTGGAGAAAGAGGAACCTTTCTTCATGGAAGAAGTTAGTGATTTTCCTTTGAAGAATGTTCTTTTGTTATTATTCTATGAAATTAATAAATAATCAACATCCCAATAATAACCTAATAAAGTTCAGCAAACTTCTGAGTTACGCATGAAGGAAGACATGGGCATTTTCGTTGTTAGCATTATTGCCAAGATGCTTTATAGTTTCTTCTATCCAAGATGTCAGAGCCTTTCTTTTATTATGAAACTGAGTATAGTTTTTTATTTTCAGTGTACAATTTATGACATATTACTAATACAGATTTTCTATTTATAAAAAAAATTTTATTGTGGTAGGTATCCATTTATCATTATTTAACTTCAGATAAATTTTTTATTTTCCAGTAACCATTTGCTTGCATTATATAGGTTTATCAAATTCAGTCTAGATTCCAAAATATTTCAGTTTATTAAACTCCATAGACTCGAGGTCTTTAGAATAGATTATCTAGTAGAAAAATAATAGATTTTCAATTTACTGCCATAAAAGTGGCCTAAATTTGCATGTTTGTTTTGAAACTTAGTAAATTCATCTGATTAGCCTCTGAGTAGCTGAACCAAGTTCTCCCAAATACTATACCTATTTTTTAGTACGGTTTATTAGGACTAAATTCATTTAGTAACATTTCTTCCATCTGAGCAGGACAGTGCTACAGTTGCCGACTTCAAACCGTTCCAATTTCCATTCCTGGGCTTGGATTCTCTCAAGGCAGAGCCTGTCGAGGCTGGGGCATCTCCATCCATCCCCCAGGTTCCTCCTGCAAACCAAGAACTCCCAACAAGGGCAGGAATCTTTACCGCTGTTCAAAAAGCCTCTGAGACTGCCTGCTTAGCCTCTACTTCTCTGGAGGTGCACAATTGTGGTGCTTCAATGGCTCTTCCGCCTTCAGAAACTTCAACTTCCAAGGGGAAGAGTCAAACAAATGAAATGAAAATCTCATCCACTGAACAAGAAGCTGGTGAAGCTCGCTCGCCTAATAATGGCCGCCTTCCTCCTACTACAGCACCATCAGTAAATTGTAACGTTCTCAGCTACAATGGAACGAGAACTGTCCCTGCAACGCTGGAGGCTTCTTTTAAGGCAAAAGAGGCGCACAATTCTGTGGATTTGGGACGTTCTAAGCATCTTCGCATCAAATTAAAAAAATGCAGTGTACTACTGACTCGCATTCATGTTTCTGAAAATTACAAATACGTTTACGATGAAGAAAATGAAAATAATATTTGCTCAGAAGAAATAGCATTTCCAGAGCCTCATCCTGATCAGGGGAGCAAAGATTCAGAGCAACCTGAAATGCGCAGTGAAAAAGTGGGCAAAAGTGGAGGACCAAATTCAAGTAAAGAAAATAAGATAAACTTTTCTAAAAATACTGATAGTCTGCGAAGGACATCCTTCAATCGTTCTAAGCGTCTAAATGCTTCCATGAAGGAGGCAATTTCTTCCACAACCTCCCACGTACGTCGTAACAAAGAGAAGGCTCTCAAGTGTCATGTCTGTGGCGTAGCTTTCCGCTTTAAATGTGATCTTGACCGACATATCAACGCATTTCATCTTAAATTGAGGCCCTACAAGTGCTCTAAGTGCGATTATGCCTCCAGTCAGGTTTCTCGTTTACAAACCCATTTGAACACAGTGCATGCAAAGCTGAAGCCATTCAAGTGCGATGAGTGCGACAGCTACTTTTCTCGGAAAGGTGATCTAAAAGCTCACATTTCCAGGGTGCACCTCAAAGACAGACCGCACTCGTGCCCGCACTGTTCCTATTCCGTGTGGTCGAAAGCAGGACTAGCTAGGCATATCTCTATCGTTCACTTGAAGCTGAAGCCTCACAAGTGTCCTCAATGTGACCACAGTTGCAGCAGTAAAAGGAATCTTGATTATCATGTTAATAGTGTTCATTTAAAATTACGGCCTCACAAGTGCCAGACGTGCAAACGTGGGTTCTACCAGAAAACTAAGCTAGAACAGCACATGAAATCGGTGCACATGAATTTGAGGGAACACAAATGTGCGGTATGTGATTACGCCGCAGGTTCTCGCGGGGTTCTCAAGAGACATGTTGATGTGGTGCATCTGAAAATGAAGAAATACAAGTGCGATGAGTGTGACAGCTACTTTTGTATCAAAAGTAATCTAACAGCTCACATTTCCAAGGTGCACCTCAAAGATGGTTTGTGAGTAAAGCGCCGCTGACAAGTCTGGGTTTTTAAGGCATGTTGCGCGCGAACATTGAGAATTAATTGACTTCTCACACCGAGTATAATTTTTTCTGGAAAAGATATCTTTTATACTCCGTGTGTACGAAATTAATTCCATTCTTCTCTGCGGAAAGTAGCCAACATCAATACTGATGAACTTACTACACTTGTTGTAGTCGTCATTATCGTATAAGTTTAGTTATTATATAACATTTATAGGAGGGCAAACCTGAGCTGGATGGCGTCCGCAGGCAAGTGGTTCTATTCGGATATGGTTGTGGGGAAAAATGTCATCTGGGGGTATTGAGTCCAGCTGAAAGGAACGACATACTGTAGAGGGTGGGACTTGCTGGTATTCTGAATGGAGCAGCTGACAGGGGAGGGGGAGGTGGCTATAGGTTGTTGTGGATCTTGTAAAGCATGGTAAGCCTAGCACGCCTTCTTCTGTCTCGCAACGTTGGCCATGCCAGGTCACGGAGCTCGTTGTACACACTGGAAGCCCGGAGCAAATAATACGAGACTCACCGCGCTGCTCTACGCTGTACTTTTTCAAGAGTGGCAATATCGTCTGCTGCACGAGGATCCCACACACAACTTACGTACTTCAGTATGGGTCGCGCTAACGCTTTGTAGGCGGCTGCCTTGATGGTACAGTTTGGGGTTCGCACTTCAGCTCCTTGGTGAGAGTGACTCCCCAAGCTACTTTACCTGGGTCTCCTCAAGCAATCTGCTGGAGGAAACCAAAATCACTGCTTCCTGTCACAAAGGAAATTTTGGATTGCGGCATTTACCTTTCTGCCCATAGTCCATAGTGGTGGAGTTTGCGGGTCAAGAGGCTGGTTATCTAAAATTGTTGTTTAATCTGAGGCTGAATCCAAGATGACGCGTAATGTGCTTATTGTAATCAAATAATCTTGTTCTATCACAGTGCTAATAATAGCACAAAAGAGCTCAATAAAAGCAACTTCTGCACCACTCAGATGAGTTTTATTAACCTGGTCGTATAAGGTGCCTGTACACGGGGACAGCACTGGCCGCCGGTTCATCCACCGCTTGAACTGTCCACGCTACTAGCCTCGTGTATAGGGGTTCAGCCGCTTTAGAGGCATGTGCCCGAGACGCGGCCGAGAGGGACAACGATGTGTTGATTTCTTCGCTAGAGAAGCGGCCAGTTGGGCTGATGCAGCCATGGTGAGAGCATCTGTGCCGCTCTTGTGAAGCATCTTGGGTCAAGTGAATCATGGCTTGTTTGAACGATAATGGTTCTAAGAAGAACCCAACAAAGTGGAGTCCAGACGATATTCAATTATTCTTTGAAATATTCCAAAAATATGAATTAAAGTATAATGTTCGCCATGCTGGTTACTTCAACAAAATGAAGAAAGAAACGAGTATTTTGAAACTGAATGAAGACCTTATTAGTCGGGGTTTAGTTGTTCCCGATGTTGCATTTTTAATTAAAATGTCGGCATTGCATTGCCTGCCTCAATTACTGGCAATTAGTGGCAGTTAGTACTTGCCACTTATATTGTCTGCCTCAACTACCGGCAATTAGTGGCAGTTAATTATTAGTACTTGCCACTTATATTGTCTGCCTCAACTACCGGCAATTAGTGGCAGTTAATTATTAGTACTTGCCACTTATATTGTCTGCCTCAACTACCGGCAATAAAACAAAGGTCGCTACTCAGCAGCTACTGCCTTTAACTCGTCAATAATAACCGTATAATACTGTTAAGAAATACGATTTGTAGGGTTCGATTACCGGATATTTTCTAAGAAGCTTTTCCGATCGCTCTGGAAAGTTGAGGGTCAGTTAATTTTTTTTCAAAACTGATCGTGTTTCTTTTTAAAAGAATCGAAAAAATTTGAAACTAGATCGTGTTTATTTTTATGGAATATCGAAAAAGGTAAAAACAGAGCGTGTTTCTTTTTTAAAAGATCGAAAAGTGTAAAAAGTATATCATGTTTTTTAAGATCAAAAAAGTTTAAGAAATAGAGTGTTTCTCTCAGTCGAAATAAAAAATAGATAGTTTCTTTTGGAGGCCGGTGACTTAAGAGCTGTGCGATATCAGCGGCGTTGACGGTAGCTTGCTTGTATGAACCTCATGGAATTCTATATTTTTTCTTCCCGGTAACGGATGAACTATTGACTTGTCAAAATGTGTGTTAATTTGTGTATATAATAAAATAAATATATAACAATAAATATATGTGTGTTTATATATATGTTGACCAAACATTCGGTGCATGCTTGAATTTGTTTTGCCGTTGTTATAAACCGGCACTTAGCAAGTGCAGTGTGTCTTGGCTGCAGACATTCATGGAAAGTTTATTCGAAACTGTGTACGAGCTTTAACGAGCATATACTGATAAGTTGTATGATGTTTTTGTAGTTTTGCAACCGTAATTTTCCCTTCTTATGCTCGAAAAGTTGGATGACTAAAGTTATCATGCAAGCATTGACCTTCTGATAATGACTAACGCCGTCGCCACGACGACGTAATCGATATACTGCAGGCCTGAGACTAATAATTGTATTCGAATACTAGATAAAATTTATAAATTGCCTGATTTAACGAGAAAATTTTCATCGATGCTCCATATAAAAAACCGCAATGATATAATAGCAGCAATGTACAGTTGATATATACGTCATATCCGTCGATTTGACCGGTGACGCATCAATTTCCGGCGCTTCTCGCTGACCAAATTTGCAGCGAAGAATAAGTTTGCCGCGCGTGCGTGCCGTGAGGAGTTGGGAAGTTATTAGCGACGAATGTTTTCCTTCTAAGTCTGCTTATGGAAGTAAGCTTTAGATTTCAGAATAAATAGCTTGAGCCAATGACACTTGAGTCGCTTGAGTGACTTATTTCGCACTCTTATTTAATTAATGCAATCGAATAAATGTCAAAATAATTTCATTTCGTTTAAGACAAAAGAAATTTAAATGCCACATAATTTTGCCAAGAACTTTTCATCAAATTTCACATATATGAACCAAAGTTTCTGGTGTATAAAAGTTTGAATAAAAACAACTAATGTAATATCGTGAGCCGTGGTCCACCATGAAAATCATTTCTTCTTGGAACATTAATTTCTTGGAACATTTTCTTCTTGAAACATTAATTTCTTGGATCATTTTCTTCTTGGAACATTTCTTCTTAGAACATTAATTCTCCGTTTCGTTTGAACCTAATTGCGTTATTATTTTCATAAAAGAGAAAAAATCATAGTTCTGTGGAGCTAACTGCCAGCAATTTTAGCGCCGGTCATTTTAATAATGTTTGCTGAAAGAGTGACCGAGCGCTCTTCAATTTTAAATTCTAAAACCTGATTGATTTCCAGCCCCAGGTTTATATTTTTTTTTGTTTTCCTTACCACCATAAGCTATGGGACGTGAGTTCAGAAGTTATATTTCTATTTCATAATCACGAGTGTGGTTTAATTTTTCCAGTAGAGCAGTATTTTTAGGTTACTAATTAAATTAGTGTAAAAAATTAGGTGAAATAAATGTCACTGCTTGACGCGCATAACAACACAACGCGGCATGCATAAATGCAGCCAGTGGAACGGCAAACACTTTCTCACCAATAATGTATGTCACTGCACGCGCGATAAGATGCAGACTTATGATGTGCCCAAATATACTCAGTTGAGGAATGTGGCCTGACGCTAAGTTTATTTATCAACTCTAAGCCACTCTTTCAATTTACTAGACTTATTCAACCACGAAGGTCTTCATTCAATGAACAGTTAAAGGAAGCTGCCTGCGTAAGCGTCTTTCCTTTATTCATTTACATGCTTCGTGCGCGTGACCTTTAATAAATCCGACATTTGATCTGCGTTCAACGATGTATTTGATAATGTAATATCATATCCATTTTATGACTAATCACAATTTGGCTCTAATTTATGAAAGTATATTTTTATTCGGATGCATGATATTGGTAATAAACCTAAAAAAGTCTAATAAAAAATAGCTAATGTGGTGACATCTGGCAGCCCATCTGGGTGTGGACGCGCGAGTCAAATCATTAGTAGCGCGCAGTGTGAGATGGGAGCTCGGAGTGCGAGGTTGTGCGCATTCAATGGTTCGATTTAGCCTTCCTTGTGCATAGCGGTTCTCAGTGCTCGTAAGGTTATAGTTGAAGTGTTATAATCTTGTGCTATTATTTAATGAATAACTATGAACAAATCACCGCCTTTAGCTGTTCAGGATACGTTTTTTAGGGCTTCCAGCATCCCTGGATTAGAATCGACCGTTCCAGTGCAAGCGTCGCCTGCTACGAGCTTAGTTGTTGAATTGGACGCCGCTTCCCTCGGCTGATGCTCACCCTTCTGGCTTTTTTGTTGTGTCTTTTCCGGCGTGACGAACTGATGTGTTTGGGGACAGCTTAGCATTACCGTCATGTCAAATCACCATCCTAGTTACATAATACGACTAGTTACGCAAGTTTTTCTGGAGGAAAATAGCAACTTAGTTACAAGGGCTGCGAGAACTAAGCTTGTGAACAAGATTTGTGTACCTAGAATTGCAGGCAGTCGCCGTGCATTGTGTTGTATAGTTATGTACTGTATGGCTTGTTTTCTGTATGGATTGTGTTGTGTGTGACTGGTGTCTTGGCCAACCTCGCTTGTATATTAAAGTATTTGTTTCGGTATAGGACTATAGGACGGCTAGGCTAAATTTGATTTTGAATAAATTTTCGATTGAACTTTGAAAACATAGGAATTTATGTTAATTGCAATTTTATTAATCATTTTACAATGAATAATAAGGACTTGATGAGAGTTGTTAGTCATTAAGTGTATATTGAATCCATTGAGATTAATATGAAATATCGGGTGAATTTATTTATTTAAACCTCGGCTAAGATCCATTGTTCAGGGTCAGTTTACAACCACAGCGTTAGCGTTGAACTTTAAGCCGTTAATCCAGATTTCCTAGCCGGAAATTAGTGACATATCCTCAAGCTGCCGGGCACGGGTGAACTGTTCGCGGGTGAACTGTTCACGGGTGAACTG